GCATGCCCTGCATGACCTCTATTGCGCAAGCAGCAGAACCAAGGACTTGCGGCAAAGCATGCGTGTACTAGTCCTAGCGGGTTGGCATGGTGACCGTGACCAGAGTGCTTCGTCCAGGGCCCTTTAGAGGCTTTGCTCGTCTCCCACCAGCTTGCTGCCCAGGAAGAATGTCGACTCTCAAGGTTGAGCGCTCGCGACACCTCACATCGAGAGGACTCTCAAGACAAAACTCACTTCCTCACGGTAAGAAGTAACGAAGAGGGTAGACAAGGAAGAGAGCAACGTACCTCATAAATGCTGCCCCCAACCACAGATTTCTCACCGGTAACCTGATGTGCAATTATAATGACTGGTCTTTGCCTCGGCACAACCAACAGCAAAATGCGGTTCCACCTCGGCTTAATATGCCACATCAGCGAGCTCTCATCATCCAGCATACMCCCCRTATGTCACCACATAGCTCCCTGGCGTGCCCACTCTACCCTGGGCCGCCTAATGTTCAACGCCAATGCCTTATCACTGCCCCACACCTCATGCGAAGAACCAATGAAGCGCAATATGAACCAGCTCCGATACCAAATTGCAAGGAAAATAAGCAACAGCGAGATGACAAATCCAGATTACACCATCACATAAAAAGCCAGATAGTCACACTGTGTCCAGAGAGCAGCATTGCACCAATAATACACCAATGGAGGTTCGTAGTACTGAAAACTAATGTCATGGAGAGCTTCCTCTCTCCTTCAGCAACACAAGAGTCCAGTCGCTTCACACTCCTACTTGGCGCTCAGCGCCCCAGCCTACTCCTACACAGCTACGATCAGCCTAATAATAGACAATGCAACTGTTGACATCAGCGGCAACCCGAAGTACTTGAAGATGTCGCCCATATGCTGACCATCGCCAATACAAGGTAAGTGCCCTCACATCATCATCATCATCATCCTTCGCCCTTCCCTGACTTAACACCCACACCTGTCCTCTCTTGCACCCGGAGACCACCCCTGCGCCTCACTGTGTATCCAAGCCGAGCTTTCTATGGAGGCTGGCTATGGCGCTGCCCTCAGCAGCGCCCTGCTCCCACACACGACCGCACGTGCGCAGCCTCTTGCTCCAATGCCGGCAGCCAGCCCGCGAGCAATCGCCCCAGCAGCGCTGCCGCCAGCCAGCAAGTGACCGAATCCCGGCTGCCAGCGGAGAGCTCTTTCCTTTATGGAAAGAGCTGGCCTGCTTGCCCTGAATGGCTGCCCTGGCCTGGGCCCAGAAGCCTCCGGAAGGCCCCAGGAGGCTGCCTGTGCACAGCAGCTACTGGGCTGCTGGGCCTCGTTCAGTTGGGCGCCCAACTGTCTCTGTATGAGGCTGCGATTCACGCCCAGGGCCTGCATTCTTTGGAAAAGCCCAGAGGGCCGTGGAAATGTCTTTGTGGCCTGGCCTGAGTTTCTCTCAACCAACTGGCGCGTTGCAACTGTCTGGTCCCCAAGTATGAAATTGACAGTATGGGGCCTCTTCTGATATGTCAGGCCCGCCTTCACTTAGGGCGGGCAATGCTGCAAACAGGGCCCCTTAGGCCTACCGAGGACCTTGATCCTCGCATTACTTAATTCTGATGTATTTTCAAAATTTTCGAAAAAGAATGAATGAAAAGTAGTTTCAAATTTCGAAGGAATATCGAAAAAGAATTTATTAATTGAATTTTATTCTACGCATTTCGAATTATGAAAAAAAGAATTTAATTCATTCTAAAATATTTTCGAAATACAAACGAAAAAAAAATAGTTAAAATTGTTTTCGAATTCCGAAGAAGAAATGCCGAAATTTTTGAAAAAGAAATGTCGAGAAAGATAGTTAATTCAGTATTTTCGAATTTACATGAATTTCAAATGAGTTCTAAAAACAATAAATAATAATAATAATAAATAAAGAAATAACTTAGTTTTGATGTAAATCGAGGGCGGAGCGATCCTATCTACCATTGATTAGGTGGTAGCGTGGTACGTAGGGTTAAAAAAAGGGGGTTGCACGGGTAGATTGACGATGATGATGATGATGATGATGATGATGATGGTGATGATGATAATGATGATGACGAGGGGGGGAACATGGGGAGGAAGTTGTGTAGCGCGTGGTGGGGGATCGTGCGGAACTCGCGCGGGGTGTGCGTGGCAAGGAGAGA